TTTAGGTGATATTATCATTGAGCGATGGATCCCATATGGCGCACAAGCTAAACGAAAAACAATTGTTCAACGTGCAGCTGCTGCTCAACAATATAAGGCTCCACGAAATATCATCATTCAATATGAAAACATCCAAGGTTTGTAAATCAGAAATCTTCTATTAACGTTTCAATTGATTGTGTTTTTTTCTAGCTCGTGTTGTTCGACAATTTCAACGACTCGGAGTTCAACAAGAAAATCCACAATCATATATTCAGCGTTATGGTGCACAACTGAAGGATGCTCAAACTTTACTACAAGAAGCAAGAGCAGCGGGCGTTGTCGAAGACATTGTAAGTAATTATTTATGTTACTTACAAAATAATTTTAAAAGTAGTTTCGAATTTGATATACAGAAATTATATGTAACTATAGAGTAAAACTAAACAACGAAAAGTATTTTTGTTTTCTTAATCATAAAACGTATTTTAGTGGAATAAGCATCACTCATATTTTGTGCATCTTCGCACAGTGAAGTCTATGGAACCAAAGTATGTGTATGTAAAGCTCTAACGTATGAAAAGATTGTAGCATAAAATTATTCTGTAACACCGTACTAATAGACTTTTATTCCATGATACGCTGCATCTACACTGTAATCTGGAGTTAATTTCTAGTTTATGGAAAATCGACTCAAAATTCACCAAGGAATTTTCGGTTTATAGAAATTCGTCTAGGAATCTCCGACTTTGCAGAAATTGTTGAATTTCTATAAATAATTCTCAAGAATCTGGAAATTCATTTTTGATTTTCTATAAACTGGAAATTCGACATCGGATTTCCAGTTTATTGGGAATTATTTATAGAAATTCGATCGATCTTGTAGAAAGTGGAAATTTGCTCAGGAATTCTAGACTAACTACTTATTCACCTTTTGTTTTGCAATCAATGTAGAAAAGTCATATAAAGACTCTCATATCACACTTGAATCAGCTTTGACAGTTTTCACTTTAAATCACGATTCTGCCTATGCCAGAGAGAATTTGGATTTAGGCAGAGATGGTGAAGTCGCGAAGGAGTAGTTGTAGAAAGTCTTGAAATCGGAGTAGAAAGTCTTGAAATCGGAGAAGTCTACCAGAAATTTTTCAAAAGCATCAGGAAGCGGGGACAACCTCAATACAACCTGATCGCGCCGCCACTCGGCGCAGACTCGCCAAGGAATTTCCAGTTTATATAAAATCAAAAAGGAATTTCTAGTTTCTTGGGAATTATTTATAGAAATTCAACGTCGATTTTCTATAAACTGCAAATTCCTTGGTCAGTAGTTTGACAGTTATTTATGGAAATTCGAGGAGGAATTTTCAGCTTATAAGAAATCGAAATCAAATTTCCATAAATAAATCCCAAGAAATTGAAAATTCGGCAAAGAATTTCTATAAACTCGAAAATGCTCGAGGAATTCATATATGGATTCTCTAAAATTTGACGAGCATTTTCCATAAATAATTTCCAACTTTACAGCGTAATATAAAATATAAATAATCAGCTATGTTTTTGATTTCAGTCGCCACCAGGCGCTGGTGTAAGCGGTGCATTTAATCAATCATCATCATCATTTGGCGCGGAATTTTCAGGTAGTGCCACACAAGGAGGTGAATTTTCCTCATCAGGTGTCGAATTTGGAGGACAATCAGGGCTTTCAGGATTAGGTGGAGACATTGGAGGAGCAGGTGGATTTAGCTCCTCAAGTTATGAACAATCATCATCGTATGGCACACAAGGTAATTATGACTATTGTCTACTCTCCCCAAGTTAAACCAAATTTTATTTCAAATACACAGATATGAAGAGCGTAGTCTTTGCGTTAAAACAGAGTTGTCACAACTAGTATCTGACGACTTAATAGGAGAAAGGTACGAGAGTTTTTATATAAACTATAATGCTCCATTAAAATGACAGTTTTAGTCTGTCACGCAATTCGATATTACTTTTTCAATTGAACAATATAATTAGATAATTTTTTTTTGTTTAAACGATCGGGTTAGTATTAACACTAAATCGCAGTCTTTTTGAAAATTTGCTTTTGTATAGCTTTTTAATCGTCCTTTTTGAGTTTCAAATTCTAACACATGACAAAAAGTAATGGCGATAAATTTTCAAGAAGGAACAATGTGACTATCTGAATTCCTTAGTCGAGTGCTATGTGGTATTGCCACTAACTCTTTATGGTATGAAATTTTCATCCCTATAACAAATCAGTTTTAATTACAGTACCTTTTCAGTTTGATGAAAGATCCATTGAGTTGTTTTATCGTCATGATGATGAATAAGAGAATAGAATTTTTATTCTTTGTGAGGTAGTTATTGCAGGTGTTTGTTCGCTTGTTAATCCATCTTCATTGAAATTAATTTTCATCTCCATGCATTCATTTATTGTAAATGAGTGCACCTTGTTATAAAACACTTATTAAGAACTCTCTAAATGTATCAAACTTTTTCAAAAAAGGGTAATTGTCATCATTGATGATCATTACCCTCATTACGAAGCTAGAGTGAAAGAAGTAGAACTGAAAGAAATAGATAAAGTTAATTGAAAATTATGATAGAATTACAGCATCAATACAAAAAATTGTAGACGGTACTATTCTGGGACTTGATTAATATTCTTTTCACGTATATAGCGCAACTTATCGTAGGCATTAGCCAAAGAGTTGATATCAAAGTTTCATTTCTATACAAATTTCATTAGATATTGCCTAGAAACCTCTCTGAAAAACCACTGTTATATGAATAAAAGGTCATAAACTTTTGCATATTCAAACTGAATCTTCCACTTTAACGGATATCTAACATTGTCCTACCAATACCTAAGCATCATTTAGGCTAATACTAACGACTCTTACCCTCTCATTTAGGTGCCGGTTTATCTGGATTTGAATCAGGATCCGTTGGAGGACAAGGAACAGCATCGAGCTATGAGAATTATGGAGCTTCGAGTTCAAATTTATCAGGCGGTGATTTCAGTGGAGCAAATATTGGTGGTATTGGTGGCAGCAGTTTTGGTTCATCTAGTTATGAAGGCAGCAGCGGATATGCATCAGGAGCGGGTCAGGGAGCGAGCGGTTTTGATTTTGCTGCAGCTGCATTTCAAGCAGCTGATAAAAATAGGTATGTTTATCAGAGTAACTTTAAAAAAACGCCATACTACAGTCTTTCGTATGCACCAATTCACACTGTATTTGAATGTTTGTAGAGATGGCTCTGTTGATCCTAATGAATTTCGTGACTTTGTCGGTCAAAATATCCGGTAAGCAAGTGAATTTTTCTATCTTAAACTATTCGTTTTTTGCCAATCTACTGCTCAACATTGGCAGAGAATGGCTATAAGATAGTTAGAGTTTATTTTTTTAGTACAAGCCCTCTCCCGCAATATATATGTATCGCAGAATGCTTACTAAAGACAGGCCTTTTCTTTCTGAGCTGATATAAACATCTGTGCTTTGGGCTCATTTATTTTGTCAAGATGAACCCGTTTGTTCTGGATATAAACAAATCTACGACTGTTTGCTAATAGTGCTTTTTTCCAGCTTTATATCATCATTTTGACAGTAGATCGTTTATGCATGCCACGGTGAATCAGAAATTTCTTTACTTGTTCATCGAATGGCTTTGCATCTCTAGAGGAATATGCCGTCCGAATTTCTTAATATTTTTGAGCAAGTCATGAATAATGTACATTGCCATAGAAACTAAATATTCTTCCTTCTGTTTTAGTTAATAAATGAAATGTTTTATACAAATGTTGATGAAGATACGATTTTTACAACCGTCGAATTTTCTCCGTATCAAATATATATCATTACATTTCTTTTTTTTTGGTGAAAGGATTTATCTTTTCTAGCTTACTGCTTTTAATTGCTATATAAATTAGTTCACTTGTTCAATTTTGAAATGATTTTTTTTCTCTTTTAAAATAAAATATATATTAGATTATACTGCACAAAATGCTAATAACCACGGACATAACTTAACCATACGTGGAGTAAGGTTGAATGCCATAATTTTCTTAATCATTTTTCAAATAAAACTGTTTTTTAACTATATGATTTATTATAGGAAACAATCTAACTACAAATAAACGTTAGATAAAAAAGATTGATGCTACAAAATAATGCTAATAACAAGAAAATGAAAAAAAAACCCAGCCACTCAACGGAAAATATTTTCTTGTTAACATTTGTAGTAGTTTTCCCAATATAATTCATCTATATCACCGTTTGCATTCACTCATTTATCTATCATATTAAGCACTAAACAGCATAATAATGGAAAAAAATGTGACATACATTATTTAGAGTTAAAACCTACAGATTATTGCCAACAAAATTTCTGAATTCACTTTGACTTAAACTTCCATCGCGATTGGTATCAGCAGCTTGAAAGGCTGCATCAACACCTCCAGCTCCAACTCCGTATGATGATGATGAATAACTTGCCGAGCCACTTAATCCTGAGGCGTCATATCCTCCTCCAAGTCCACCAGCTATGCCAACTCCTCCTAAATCACCGGTAGAAGAATATGATGAAGATTCAAATGAACTTCCATAACCACCAGCTCCACCTGCTTCTAAGCCACCGTAACCGGCAGCTCCTGTGCCATATAAGGAACTAGATTCATAAGATGATGAAGCTCCGCCAGCACCTGCGTATTCAGCACTAAATTCACTACCTGCTACACCAGTAGCTCCTACGGATTCTGCGCTATATGATGCACTTGAGACTGCTACAGCAGCAGCTGGTGGGCTCTAAATTACACGAAAATACATTTGCACGTACGCATAAGTTACTATTGGGTTATATATGATAAACAGATTCTTGATATTAAAGTAATCGAATGTAATCGAAAGTAATCTCGCAAAAAGCTAATTTAACTACTATGCTCTTTTTTTTCTTCGTATGAGAACAGCTTTTTTCTCAGAACACTTACGATGTCTTCAACAACTCCGGCTGCTCGTGCTTCTTGCAGAAGTTGCACACTATCGCGTAATTGAACACCATAACGCTGAACATATGATTGTGGATTTTCTTGTTGAACTCCGAGTCGTTGAAATTGTCGAACAACACGAGCTTGAATTGGTTCATATTGAATGATGATATTTCGTGGAGCCTTATATTGTTGAGCAGCAGCTGCACGTTGAACAATTGTTTTTCGTTTAGCTTGTGCGCCATATGGGATCCATCGCTCAATGATAATATCACCTAAA